ACATGAGTCACAGCAGGTGCTTGACCACTTTGCTCTCTGTGAAAGCCTGAGAGAAAGTTTTCTCTCCATATGATTCTCCTTGGGCACACTATAGATCATCAGTCACATTCCTCTGTGGCTCCCTAAACTCCTTGATTAGAAAATTTGGGGAACAACAGAGTTACATGATGTTACAGTATGTGTCCTCCTATATCCTGGGTCTTCACCGAACTTGAAAAGCTAAGTCCAAAATGTTGTCTGTACTTGCAGCCCTTCCTTTTTTATGTGTTTGGTACATGGCCTCACTACATACATTAGACTCTAGAAGGCTGTTTTCCTCCTCCACAGGGCTAGCATTACAGACATGCAATACCATACCCGATCTCAGCTTCCATCTCTTCTGCCCAGAGGTGGAATTACCATGGCATGTAGTGCCAAGGATTGAGCCCCAGTCCATTATGTTGCCTAAGTAGGCATATAATCCACTGAGTGACCTCCCAAGCCCCATCCATTTTCCATTGTGAGCTCTCACCTGTATCATCCTTAGTAATCTATTCAAGGTAATAAATGCTTTTTCTAACATGAAGTTTCTCAAAATTGTTCTAGCCTCCAACAATACTCAGATCAGAAACTACTTCCGTATTTGTAGATATTTGTTATATATCAGTACCTCCACTTATCAGTATTAAATGTCTGTCTTAGTCTGTTCAATTTGAAATAAATAGACTGAGTGACTGATATAAATATGAAAATATTGTCACATTCCTGAAGCATGTGAAGTCCAAGGTCAAGATGTCAATTATCTCACTACTTTATAATGCTATACGTTTCACTATAGGTGACAACGTTTCTCTTTATCCTCATATAGTAGCATGAGCAAGCATGTTCTCTGAAATCGTTTTTATGAGAGATTTAATCTCAAAGCCTACTTGCATGATACTACTCACCAAACAAAGTTTCCACTTCCTAATACAATCACCTTGAGTGTTGCGATTTCAACATATAAATTTCAGGAAATTTTGCAAGTATTTACATTGCAGTAATTGAAAAGCAAAAATTTTAGTTTGTTTGTTTCTGCATGATGACATCCTAAGAAGAATACTTTATTTATTCAATCCTACATTTTTTAAAAATGTATTTGGTACAGTGTCTATTGAGTCTCATTACACAGATTGAACTTGTAGTGATCCTCCTGTTTCTTCTTTTTTTCTTTTTTTTTTACAAATCTCTTTTTTTAAGCTAATAGAAAATGGAAATATACTTTTTAAAGTTTCTAATA